TTTAACTCAGTAAGAGGTCATATGTTTGGTCCAATCCTTAGTTCACTTTTGATCTTTAGTATGTGATTATTATTTTGTTTTATGAAACACAACATTGGCTTTCTAATCAGTTTACTGCTCTATTTGTTCAATTACCGTAAGCGTTATAAAATAATAAAATAAAAAACACATTTCAAGGATCGGTTCATAACTACGTTAAAACATGACCTCTGACCGTTTGAACATAACCCTGATCCGAAGCATGGCTGACATGAGTAATTGACACAATATTAATCCGCTGTGATTGTATGTTGATGTACAGCATGTGTGTCCATGCATGCAAAGATGTAAGTGACACACTGTGTATGATTATATAAGTGCGTCATATCAAGTCATGTCATGCATATGTATGTGACTGCGTACAGCAATGCTGCGTGTATGAATAATACATCTGCAGTTGGAACGTTGAGCACATGCTGGAAATAGAGTGATAATCACATTTCTTCAAAATATAGTAACGTGAAGAAATATCAACAGAAAAACACAGACTTTAAATACTATAGATTGTTCTGTTTTTGTTGTTGTTTAAAAGCAGATTGCACTTGGAATACATTACAGTTAACTCTCTTGCAAGAACAGGTTAGAAAAAATAGATAATTTAAAAAAGTATCACGGTTTAAGGCAGCCTTCAGCACCTCCCAGAGTTTAAAGCCTCAAACTGAGTCAATAAGAAAGCGGATTGTCAAATTGTCTAATTTCTAGTCATATTATATACATAATATCATACATTAATTTATATTTTATTTACTTTCCAGGTGCTTGCTATCATACACAAAGAGCGTGAACATGGGCTGTGTCATCATCATCTCCTATTATGACCTGCAATCCAATCACAATTTCTTCCCATCAAGAACAATAATTGATACAATTTTGTGGTATTTTATGGTAGCATTTATTTAAAATGCCATAAACCCCACAATATTGTCATTAATGAATGCTGTATGATGCTTCCACATGGTCCAAATGCTGTTTCACATGTTTTTTTTAAGTGAAAATCACAGCAAGAAACTGAATACATTCATATTAATGGCATGAAAACCATCTTCCATTGTCAATAATTAAAAGTGGTGTTTTGTTTAAAAGCCACAGGCTGTTACATGCTGTGGAGTGTTTGTTCTGTGTCAAAGAACGACAGAAGGAGAACAAGCAGAAAGGGACAGGGGAGGAGTCCCAGATCAAAACCCATCCGCTGGAACAGACACTTCATCAAAATGTTTTGACACCAACATCTGTTCGGGACGCCGCCCGTCAGCCGATGTCTCCAGATCTCCCGCAGCTGTCGTCTCGGAGTTTCAAACAAGCTGGAACTGAGGTGATATGACACAATTCAAAACATCCTATACCTGAGAAATTGTCAGAAGCTCACCCTGTTTACACTATACACTGTAAAGAATGACATAACTCCATTTACTTATCTCTATAACCCATGAAATACCCTTTAAGAGTCCCTTTGTATTGACATACGGAATATAATGCAATCTTTATGGTGTTAATGAGATATTTTCAAGTTTGAATGTAATCTGGCTGACTATGAAATGTATGTAAATGGAGAAACGATACTATTTTACACAAAGGAGCCTATCACAAAGGCATTCATTAGTTCATTAAATGGATGTGTTGGATGTAGGGGGGGAACAGAGTTTGTGAGAAATAACAGAAAATCTCATTCAAATTTCAAATTCAAAGCTTCACAGTAGCTACAGTGTAGATATGGTAATTAAGTCCCAGGCTCCTCCAACAATTGCAACATAAATATAAGATGTAAAACAATAAAGAAAATGTTAAGAAACATCAAAATAGCGCAAGAAGAAACTGAATACAATCAAAATATTATCTTGCAAGACCAATGTGCAAGTAATGCAGATTAAGTCAACTATATGCATGTCAAAATAAGAGAATGTTATAACAAGTACACAGAGGTGTCTATATACATGTACATAGAATAAGATAAACTCTTTGTACTAATAAGCCGAACTATTTTTGCATAAAAAAGCAAGAGGGAAAAGTCAGTTGTCTTTAATTTCAATTGTCCCATTTCAATCCTCTGAACAAACAGTGACTGATATGAAAATGATCCACAGCTGTTCTCTCACACATGAACATCCCACACACACTGGAACATGGAAATAAACCCAGTGTTTCCCTTTTTCTTCTTCTGTTCATGCAAGCGAATAAACACTCCACCTCCACTCCTCCAATCTTTGTCTGATTATTGCATAAGCAAGTCGCTGGCAGCGTCTTCTTACAGACACAGGTATAGAGGGAGATGAGCGAGAGTGTGAAGGTGTGAAAGGAATGATGGGGATGTGTGTGTGGAGGCGAGAATGTGAGACTGGTTAAAGATCTTTTTAAATGAGGGTGTAAAGTGAGGGATAACAGGTGCCGATCACACCTCTGACTGACTAATCCTCCTCCGCTATCGGCATGTTATCTGTTAAACGGTGAGAGTTCTGGATGATTGACAGGTGATGGATGCAAACAGGAAATAAGTAACAAAAACAAGAAAAACGTTTTCATACCATAAATATGAGGTGTTATTTATATTTATTTATGTATTCCAGTAGTAAGAGATTAAATTGAAAAAAAAATTACTTATTGATGAAACAGGTTTCAAGTTGAAAAGGACATCTCCCAAAAATACATTAAAAAAGAGGAATTATTGAACCGTTTGAACCTTTTCTTCCTCGCTTTGAAGTACCCATCCCCCATTTCTAAGCAACAAGCCACGGTGTATAATAATTGCAGCGTTTTCGGCAGCAATCAATTTATTTAAATATCGTAAATTGCAAAGAATCTCAAAGTAAAATCATGCACTGAAAAGATAAAAGTCCTTTTACATACAGTTTGGCTTAGATATCTACCGATTCCTCTCTCGAGGTATC